CTGGGCTCAATTCGTTTCTCCATCTCGTTTTTGAGTTTTTTCTTGGTTTTCATACTAGTAAGCAAAGGAAAAGCCGAGCTATTCATCGGATCAATTAATCTTTTTTTCTCCATAAGTCATATGGGAAAATCACGTAAAATCGGCAATAGATTGTGATTGACGTATTTAAAGAACACGATTAATCAAGGAAAACTAGCATCTATTAATAGTTGGCCAACCGTTCTCTGTTCTCATCTTGCACTTCAGCTTCGGTTGAAGCCATGTGCATTGAAAATTTTTCAGCTTATTTTCATCTTTTACAAGAGGGTCCATAAAGCAAACTGTTGAAATGTGTCGGTCTGGTCTTGTCCGATCCAGTTGGTCCGGTTCTCACCTTAGAACCGGGAACCGGACCACTCGGAAATCGGTTCCACTTTTAGGAATCGGGACCCGGACCGATATTCCCAAAAACCGGACCAAACCGGTCGGTCCGGTCCGGTCCCCGTTTGGGCGGTCCATCTTGCTCTCCTCTAATTAAAAGGTTTATGATTAAATTGATAAAAATGTAATAGATTTGAAACTTTTTAGGTAATTTTTCCTGAACCATAATACTAGACCCAAAAATCTGCAATTTGCTCAAATGATCCTTCTTCGTAAGTCACTCCAATATGGACTGATGTCGCGTCTCATGCAACCCTTTTGGCTGGTGTGCCAACGTCTTATTTTTTTATCAATATTTGCTTGACATTCATTATTTGGTGAAGACAGTACGCAAAAGCAATAGAACTACACATGCACATGCAGGACCCCGCAAAAATTTAATTGTTTCTTCACTCGATCAATGTTGTCACTATCCTTGCTTCCAAAGTTTGGTGCGAGAGGTCGAACCAAAAAAAAAAAAAAATTTGGTGCGAGACATTAATTCATGTGGGAATATAGAATTTCGATTTATCTTGACTTGGTCACTCAAGCTAGTCAAGCATATAGATACACGAAAACATTTCATATTCACGGGAAAAAATTGGGTCGGGTCAGGTCCAGTACGGGTTGCGAAGTTGTATTACATAAAAATGAGTCAATTTAGGCAGAGCAATTTCTGGCCAATCTGTTTCATAGATCTAACGAAAAATATTCATAAATTTCTTTCCGCATTTGGGAATTTATATTGTTCCGACACGAGGGTCGGTTTATCCATTTATCAGGTCTAATGCTTTTTGAAAATTTTAATTTCTGTGAACGATAATTGATAAATATATAAATATATACGCATATATAATGGAATTAATTTCTCTTTCTCACTCATTGTCTTTAAGCTGTGGGTGGAATTTTGTCTGTTCATGGGTTGGCTCGCTGGAACCCGTGATTCGCGGTGGAACATATTCTCAGTCGCGCCTTCATTATTGAAGGCATCCTAGGGATCCGCACATCGAAACTTGATTACGAATTAATGTTTGGACATTTGTACTTGCTTGGATATTTGTATTTTTGGATCGACTGGTCATTGCTAAAGAATGTGGACTATCTATGGGATATTTTATTTTTGGATGGTTTGATTTGACGCATTCAGTGATAACAATTACCTTCCCGGTCATCGATTGAGTAACAATGAGTATTTCATCGCCAAAATTTGTTTGTCGTATACGAATTCATGTTTAAGAGTAGTTATGAAGAATCAAAGGGTTGCGTTAACATTGACCATAATTACATCTCATTGTCACAATTGCTTCTGAAGGCAATGATATAGTCGATCGATGGCTGCGATCCTTGAGTAGAGATCATTTCTTTTTAAGCACGGTGCTTTTGCTAGTAATTTCGGCACGATTGGATCGAGGATTGGAGAAGACGAAAGTGAAGGAGAGAGCATTGGGATCGAAATCTTCAATTCAAGCGAAGCATCTGCATTTGGTCAGCCAGCCGGACTAGTATGGCTATATTGAGCTAATAAGGCGAGGGAAAAGGGAAAGAGTGAAAAAGAGGAAGGAGAAGCCATGGCTTCCTTCTTGCTCTGTTATCTTGTTGGGGTTTTCTCCTTAAAAAAGAGTAACGCGGCAGTAAAATGTTACCATCAGTAGAATTCTGAACAACACTAGAACTATGTAAACTCTTGTTTGCATCCATGCTCAATTGTATGATTGACCGAAATTCTCACACTTATTCGCTTTTCCATAAAGGAAAAACCTTCACTAACATTCTCAAAGGAGTCGAGTTTTAGCCCTCCATCGGCTTCACGAGATGTAATGCCCTATGGCCTGGCCGGACCGATCAAGCTACCCCCAAATGGAGTTGCATGAAATTAGGCATAATTCATAGATCTTACGTAATTAAAGCTCCTCATTAATATTCTCGAATTGGTTAATCACACGTATCAACAGGATCTCCCGTTATTACGCGCAACCACTATACTAATCTTACCTTTATGAAACCCATCATCATCAATGCAAGCTTCACTTGTGCCCCTCGAACATGGGGATGATTACCTCTTCGGGAGATGACAATGCAAAGAAGAGACAAAACCCTCAGACAACATCCCCCCATGATCCAACGCATCATTTTGAACTCAAATAATTGTCCTCGACTCGATCCTCCTATCATTTCTCTCATCACGGGTCATGCGTGGCTAGAGCGAGAGAGAGAGAGAGAGAGAAATCGCCGAATCACAACAAAAGTCCCACCCTCTCCCATCCTCCCTTGTCTCTCTTCCCTCCAAACCTAGCCAACCTGTATCCTCCCATGACAGCCCAATGATCCCCCGCCACGTGGCGCCGTGCCCCCACCCCTTCCCCGGTCGCACACCCTTTTGAGTTTTGATCATGATGGCTCAAAACCCCACCAGCACACCCCCTAAGCTCGACCTCAAGAAAGATAGAAGAAACGATCGACACTCTCCTCCACGGCTAAGGGATGTTCAACAAGAAAAGGCATCATTTCTTGATCATTAGCATGGTGTCTCCTTGGCTCGTGTCGTCAGCAATCATTGTGTCCCTCGCCGCTCTGCCCTCGCACTCCCTGCCTTCCGGGCTCGGCCCGGCGACGCCGCCCGCCGCCGCAGCCGCCGCGATCCCGTCCTCGCCCGCCCTGTCGTCGGACCCTCTCGTGCCGCCCTTCCAAGAGCTCTCGCCGGACATCGCCCCGCTCCTGCCCTCCCCGGGGGGCGCCGCGCCGGCCTCCGGCGGCTCCTCCTCCATGCCCACCATCCCTTCCACCCCGAGCCCGCCGAACCCGGACGAGGACCCTCTCGGCCTGGACTCCGCGGTCGCGCCGGAGAGCTCGTTCATGGCTTCCTTCGCAATCACCGCAAAGCCAATTGAGGCCATGAATGTGGTGGCATTGTCCATTTGGGCAGCACTTTGGGCAATGCAGCTTCTGAAAATGTGAGCTTCTTTTTTCTTCTTTCTTTTTTCTTTTTCTCTTTTCGGGTAATTACTAGGAAAATTAAATTGATATGGGCATGGTGGGTGCGCACCAGTTCATCGAAAGCGATGACATTCATTACCTTTATGATGTAATTCAGATTTCATGTACATTTACTCCCTCTTTTGTGCAGTAATTTGCTCTTCTTTTAGAAACAAAAAAGTTCTACGGTATTTGTCGAATCACATACTTCTTTTCGAGTCTATTTTTAGTCGCGACGATGCGGTGCCGGGGCTAATTTTCGGGCACCCGATTAGGTCCGCCTGTATCATCAAAGAAACCAAATCCGGGATTTCGCGGTTCTCGAGGCAAAATTTGCACTTCATGGTAAAATTTTTGCTAAGATTCCTGAGGGTCATTTTTTGGGGAGCAAGGGGGAAAGCGAGGGTGAATTAGGTGACCGGATAAAGCAGGGGGAATCAGTCGGTCACATGTGGGGATTACCTAATCAAAGTTGTTTTGGTGCAATGATTAGAGCGATAATTCAAGGTTTGGGTAACTGGATTTGACCGTGATTTTATTATCAATATTTATACTTTAGGATTTAGAAAGGAGTCGGTGGTCATGTGATCCAATAAGGATACTATGACTTAGGTGCCTAGCTGCATTATTGCACGGGCCGATGGAAAATGTCATGTGAAAGAGCTAGCGGTAGGAACACAATGTGGGGTGTGTGCGTGTGACCATAGGTTTAGAGGATCACGAGATTACCCGAATTCTCTCTCTCTCGATCTCTCTCGATATTCCAAAGGCACGGGTGCAGAAGTCCGATTACCTAAATACTCACAGTACCCTACAGCAAGCCGAATAAACCCGCTACGATCAGCCTTCGGCCTATGTAGGTGGCTCTGAGCCCGGAACAGTTTGTACCCAGTTGATGAGATATCAACGAGTGGCTGCCCAGCTAAGACTAGCCTTTGGCCTGTGCAAAAGGCCATGACCCAGAATGGCTTGCATGCAAATGATGAGATATGAATGGGTGGTCTTCAATTCCGAGACTCGATGTCTTAACTAACTGCGCCAACCTTAAAGGTCACACGATTTACTACAGTCTTTTTTTTTGGCTCTATAAAAAAATTTACAAACCATTTAAAGGAGAAATCATCTCAAATCTAAACCGATGGTGAGAAGATTAGAATCTTATCCTCCGTTGCGGCATATGCCTCGTTGTTCAGTTATTCAAGATGGACGCTTTTTATCTTTCGCTCTCCTCCTACCTTGGGTGTCAAAGTCAGCATTCGATGCGTACCATATTATTTGTTTTGAAGAGGAGTTGTGAGCAAACAGTCATAGAAGGTCCAGTTGTGAGTGAAACATGCAATGGTATTTGCATGTCGAAAGAGGAGGAGAGCACAGGGCAACTGCAAGCATTTCATTGCACTAGTGCCGCTTGTTAAGCTGACTATCATATGCTCAAAGGCAAAATTGTGCTTCGAGTCTCGTCGGCTCAGGTCAGAGTCCAAGCAAGTCTAGCCGCTCGAAACACACCGACCATCGTAGCATTAAGAGCATAAGAAGCGTTTCAAATGAGTTCCAAAGGCCTACGGCTCATGACATGCTTGACGAACACGATGCCAACGGATGCTGATGAAGGAAAAGACAACCCAATACACAAGCAGCAGAGTTCCATTTCAGGCCAAAAATAATAACTTAGGATGAAAATCCCTTGCAAAACTTGCAAATATATCTAGTAAGTAGATAGTCCTCAACATGGCAAAGCCACACAAGAGTCACCAACAACATCATCTTCATAAGAGTACTTGGTTCTTAGGGGAGTCTTTAAAGCTAATTCTTAAGCAGCATCTTTCCCAATGAGCTTCTCAATCATATCAGCAGCCTCTTGGACAGTGGTGATGCTCTGAGCACTCTCTTCCTCCACGCTGATCCCGAATTCCTCCTCAAGGCCCATCACAATCTCCACCTGAACCAAAAGAACTTGTGAGCCACGAAAAGCTATCATGATAGAGCCCACACATTACATATATACGCATAAAGGACGGATTTTTCACCATAACTTTCTTCTCCGAGAGGAAATCTCATTGTAGAGTACTGTAGCATTTCGAGGTATGAAAACAACCTACGCTTGACAATGATCTTTTTAAGATTTGATTTCGACCCTTGAGTATGTAAGTTACGCTTCCTAATTAAGAACAGAACGAACTATTGGAGTTGTCCAAGAGACAATTATGGACCGCAATCAATGCAACGATCAATTTTATAGCCATCCAATGCCACGGGTTTCTAGTCTCTCAATATTTAAGTGACCACTTCACTAACTGTCAAATAATATGTAGATGTTTCTAAGGGGAGCGCAAGAAAGCTAACGTTAATGCACACATGATGCAAGCAATGAACACGACAAGTGTCGGGATGAAACGGTGCCAAGGGCATTGATGTTCACCAAAAAGGTTGAAGGGATCATGCTTAATTCTATTTCAGAATTAAAGCAAAGAAACCATATTGGAAGTTAGTAGAGAGGTACCGTATCAAGAGAATCAGCTCCAAGTGCTGCAAACTTAGACTCTCCTGTAACCGCAGAGTCATCCGGCAGCGCCAACTGCTTCCTCACTATTGCACAGACCTTGTCCACTGTCTCGGGCTTGGCCTGTTAATACATGGATATTTCGAAATCTCACTAATAGCAACATCAATGAACCGATTTGCTTGAACACAGAATTGACAAGTAAAAGTTACTAGATTTCACAAATTTGGAGCATAAGCAACATGACACCAGTGACAAATTAGATATCTACAATCCCCCAAATTCCGGCAACTTAATGAATATCATTCACTTTTTTTAATAAAAGAGGGGAAAGAGATCATCTAAATCCATGATAAACCCAAAATCTTACATGAAGCTGGGAAATGATGACATATGTATTCCATTTATTTAGAGCATTTGAACAGTGAATTACGTATTCCATTTATTATCATGGCAAGTAGACTATATTGAACCCCTTAATGAAGGAACATGGCAAACGAACAGTAGAATATGATGCATACCGCACAGAAAACCTGAAGGCGGGAAGACCCTCGGCGTGAAACAAGAGACGGATAGCCTTTCGTACTGATGGGTATTGAGACTGATCTCAGACTTGAGATTCCGCTGTTTGATGGCTACAAAAAGCATCGGACAAGAAAAGTAAATATATAGAAGATAAAGCCATATCTCTCACATGCAAAATAGATTAATCCACGCTTAGCAAAAAAGAAAAAGAATAATCCACAAACAACAAGACAAGTCTAACGTAGAGTCATAAATATAAGTCTTGCTGGCTCCAGTTAGCCACTAAAATTGTCGGCAACCAAAAAAGAGCAGGACACATATAGTACCAACAAGTAAGGAGTAGCACTTCAGCAAGATTTTTTCCGGAAGTATTTATTTAAAGCATGAGCCCCCAGATTCATCACAACACTCAGCTAAAATGTGTTAAGGTTCATTAGACTCTATATCATGCCAAGGCAGGCACTTAACAAAAAGAATCTGATCATGCTAACAAAAGCTATCTAATAGAAAATTTAAAATGGTATTGTTAATTGAAAGCTGCATTCCACGAACAAAACCATTTCTTTTATAAGTGCCAACACACACAGCAAATCATCAGCATCAGCTACATAAGACTCTTAGCCCATTTCATGATTGGAGAATTGACCTGCAGGACTTTTCTCTCTTCATTTCGCCTCTCAAGAAATTTCACCTCACCTAGACTTATGTACAATTCTAGCTGTTGCTAGTAGACATTGGCGCAAAAATGAAGATTTTTCTACCAAGGGCAGAGGAAGAACAAGACTCATGCAGCAAAGGCTCTAAAGATGATAGATAGCTCATTGTGCCAAGCCAATCTTGGTCTCATGAAATTATTTATCCAATAGAATCTATCCTCTCTCATGTCATGTACCAAGAAATATCTCCGGACCATATGACTACTAATCTTCATCTACATGCCTAAAAAAATACTGGGTCATCCTAAAGTGCAACAAAACATAAACCACTAATCACGGCTAAAGTAAACAACAATTATCGTGAATATTTTATAAGCACTTCAAGAATAATCAGTAATGCCCCATGCAAACATTTCGATTCATAAGACAAACTCTTGATTTTTGGGTGAAATAGGAAATCTTTTTTGTTCCTTTATTAAAAGTCCAGCACATTTCCAGCCGCCAAAATCTCATATTAATAATTTCGAATCTTGATACAGCGTAACAAGCGGGCTCATCTACAACAATATCCACGGACAACGTAGATCAGAGACAGAGAACAAGAATCGCCACCTACTGAATCAAAGAAACAGCGACACAAATCGAAGATATCGATCTGAAACCAAGCTCATCCACACCAACAGATAAAAATCAAAGCTTTCGACACAAAGAGCAGCGAATCTCGCCACGAAACAACAGATCAACTGATACCCGGAAAAAAATAAGGACAAATTAATACCTGGGTCTGCTTCAAAGAGCACGACACGAGCTTCATGCGAAGGGAGGTTCCAGCAGCAGACGCCATCGATTCGAACCAAGAAACGACACGGAGGGAAAAAACAAGAATTGGAATCAAGAAACGATATACCCAGAGAGCGAGAGGAAGAGATCTGAGATTCCTGAAAGATGAATCGCGCTAAGGTATAGAGAGAGAGAGAGAGAGAGAGGGATGCAAAATGAGAGAGCTATATAAGGAAGAGAGGATGTGTCGTGCTGGGTTGTCCCCTGTAGGGCAGCGTTCGTTCGTGCGTTGTTGAGAATCGTTGGCTCCACACTGCAGACACTTGGCTTGTCTCCTGTCTTCCTTGTTCGTATCGAATTGGGAGTGTTTGGATTCGGATTTTTATGTGTCCCGGCTCCGGGTTTGAGTTATTCCGACACGGTTTGTGTTTACTGTTTGGTGCAGTGGGGAGGGAAGTTGGGAAAAAAAGGGGGATTAAACCAAGATATCATAATTGATGGTGACGACGACGACGACGACGACGATGATGATGATGATGATGATGATGATGATGGAAATTCGATTTCTCACATTTTCATTGCGCTAGAGGTGGGGACGTTTATAGTTTCAGACGTGAATTTTGACTTTTACGCTCTGCAAAAATGTAAGGCAAAAATCTAAAAATGAGTTGAGAGTCAGAGTAGGATAGATAAAAATAAAAAATAAAAACAAGATATCATAATTATCACTGTGTACTTGTCAATTGTCATGGCCCATGGCCATGGGAATGAAATGCTGATTATATGGGAAATTACAAAAGCAATCCCTGTGCTGTTACTTATGTTCGATTAAAGCCCCTGTACTTTATTAAGTGATAGATTTGGCCCCAAAACTAAAATTTTTGGGCACATTTCAGGACGTTTTGTGTTTTTGTACCTCTTGGGTGCTGAATTGGAATAGACAAATCGAGTATTGAGATTAAGGCCCAAACGGGATTGCTAGTGCTGGTCGTCGCTTTCCATTCCTTTTTATTAATTAAAAATGGTCCCAGTACTATTGCCCATACTTAATTTTGGTCCCTGTACTCCATGCTTAAATTGATTCGGTCCATAGACTAATGTTCAGTCTTAATTTTCGGCCAAATTTCGTATTTTTGTGTCGAAATGCAAACAAAAGATGTTGACTAAGTGCAAAAGGTTGGCATGTAGGGTAGTGCAGAAATTGGTGACCTAATAACAGTAATTTTTGAAGAATTTCGCACGTGAGGAACAAACTAAATTGTTACAACCCTAAACTTATATTGTTATGTGCACGAAAGATAGTATATGGACAAAAATAAAATTCGCGTAATAGCATGAGGATGGATTTTGTAATTTCTCCTAAATATATTGATGAAAAGCTTAAACATTAATAACATCAAATTACTTTTCAATAGATAGCTATATGCCTTGCATTTTTTGTTCCCACAGATGTTATCACTTTGTAATTCTCTACTAATCGTTTTTCAAATAAACTAATGTCCTAATAATTCCCTTCTAACGTGGACTGAGTACTGGTTCAGATTGTTTTTTTTTTCTTTTCCACTATTCATTTCGACATATTGATATTGATTTCTGAAGTCAATAGATATTTGTAATGGATTTTATTTGCATGGTCACCCTTGGATAATTGACCTATGGGTAAATTCATTTCTCAATCACTGAAAAGCTTTAAGTATACATGTTACTCCTCCAACAGCGACGTGTAATTTCTTGTACACCGTGAGTAGAGTCGATCGAAATCTTACTAATATTACTTACTTTTCAAACTTGCAAATCGAATGCAACTACTTTTGTTAACCCGATTTCTTGTGCATGATATGTTTATATTAGTATTTTCGAAAGTTATTGCTTAAGTGCTTAAATTGTAAAATTTTCTTCTTAGTTTTTTATGATGGGATCGCGTGTAATAGGTATTCTTTTGTATTAATTTATCTAATTAGGACAATTACAGAATACTATATTCTATCAATTCATGAGCTTTATATTTCGGTGACAAGGTTAATTATGTTGTCGTCATTATCTTTAACTTTTTTTAATCTTTTTCCTTATTTTTGTCTTGCGTTTTGGCCCATTTATGATGGTCAAAATTCACGTATGACATCTAAAAAAAGCTTGCCAATTGTCATTACATAATGGAAAAATGCATATGCTCTCAAATTATTCTTCTCTGTTAAGTATCTTTCAAATGAACTGATGTCCTTGTTTTGGGGTATGAAGAAGGCTAGCGACCCTCCTTCTTTGTCCCTTTTATCATCAACTGGTATATTTTCTCGGTGCTTTACTTTTCCATTATTCATTCTGACATATTAATATTGCTTTCAGAAGCCAAATAATATTTATAAGAGGTTTTATTTGCATGATCACCCTTAGATAATTGACACGTAGAAAAATTCAATTACGTAATTCGTAAATAGCTCGAAGCACACGTGGTACTCGCCCAACAATGACAGGTAACTTTTTTCACACCATAAGTGTATCAATCTTTTCAGATTTTTGTTTTTAAATTTCCAAGTCTCAGATGTTGTAGATCTACTTCTATGCTTTTTCATGATTGAATAATTACCAATGATAACAATGGGGATCACATGTAATAGAACTTTATTTATAGGAATTTAATTTGTTATTAATGTATCTAAATCAGGACAATTAAATAAAACTATATTCTATCACATGAAGATTTTTATCTTTTTGGGCCAAAATCAATCATTCTGTTTTTGTGTTAAATTGTCTTTTGACTTTTATTCTTATTTGTCTTGAGCATTGGCTCTTTTATGACGGTCAAATTCACATGCGGCATCTGAATAGATTGCCAAATATCATTTACATATTGGAAAAAAAAGCTAAAGCTTTCACATTACCAGGAAACTATCGTGTGATATTCACGCAACACAGTAAAAAGCATTGGAAAGCATTTCTCATGGCGTTGATGACACTACTAATTTTATCTCTGGTGATTCTTTCGGTGGCGATGAAAAGGGAAAAGAGAGGAGGATATGCTCCCTAAGCATGTTTGGTAACCGAGGTGGAAGCCATTTGAATGAGTAGAAAGCTCCATGGTCTTTCTGGACACTGTAGATGGAAATGGGGTCGAATGGATTTGGAAACTGGGCCTATTCTCCTTGAAATGATCAATTTTGGCTCGGGTCCTAATTTTGACTCCAACCTTTTTTTTCGTTTGTATCCACTTTAAGTCGCCACTTAAAGTTGGCCCCTACTAAGTTTCTATGTAATAATATTGTCAAAGTTCCAATGTGTCATCCCACGTGTATCACATCAGATAATAAAAAAGAAAAAAAGAAAACTGCGTGTGAGAGAGAGAGAGAGAGAGGAGTCCAATACGACCACCATAATGGGAGCTCAAACCCTAAACTTGCCGCAGCCATGGTTGCTCAAGTTCATACTCATGGACGCTACGGTCACTTGAGCTCGTGGTCATGGCCGTGAGATCTTTTTGAGTTGCGAACCTCGAGGCCGCATGGTCACGAGAGCTTGGGCTTGCGGTGGCTATGACCAGTTGAGTTTCGAACCATAAAGTTAAAATAGTCATGGTCGCCGCGACCTAAAATCAAGCATCCATTGCCGCTACAAGCTCTAAGCTTGAGCTTGAGCGACCATAACCTAGAGCTCAAATTCCTACCTCCTCACTACCACCAATTTGAGCGGTTATGGCCGCGGGCTCAAATCAAGCAACCATGGTTGCCGCGAGCTCAAGGTTACAATTACATCTCTACCCTATATGGATTAATTACTGTATCCTTATTTCATAGCTAGTGGCCTCAAGCCAAAAAAAAAAAAAATACCAAAGAAAGTATGAAAATAAAATAATGCATCCTTAACTTGCGGAGCATACAAGAAGTTGCATTGTTCTTTCATGTCCTTGACTATAACTTTTTTTTTTGTCTGTCCTACTCTAACTCTCGAACTTTTGCCCTGCCTTTTTGCCCTTCCTACTTGAAAAGGAGAGGTGGGGAGTTCGATTCTCCATCTTCTCACAGGGTTAGGAGTGAGAATGTTTAGTTTCAAATTATGGATCCCTATAACTTGAGATGCCTCAATTCTGCTTAAAACAAGGTTAAGTCTAGCCGTATCCCTTCTTTTTTTTTTTGGTAAGTATCCGTATCCCTTCTTTAGTCTCTCTCTTAGACTATAATCGAGAGAAGTCTAAATGTGACTTCATAAATGTGAACTAGGCGAGTTTGGAAAAGGAGTTAAAGATCAAAATCCCAACTTTCATTTGTTGGCTAAGCCTCATAAATGTCGATGGCTTGCCATTTTGTGCTGAAAGGAATGGCTGTAGTTAGGTTACCAGGAACTATGTGACTTGTGGAACGAGAGTTCCATTGAAAATCCGGACAAAATTTGCCATCCTTCACTCCCTAACTACTATCTAGAATAGCGATATGCCCCGCATCGATGGAAAATCGACTTCATGGCGCGGTGCGCATTTAAATCGATGTCTAAACGCGACGCCGGGCCGGTGGATGGATATGCACATAAACACTGACAGCTTTAAAAGCTCATAGTGTTGGAAAGGAAATCAGAAGCAGCCGATGAAGCGATGAATTTCAGACATTCTGATATCAACAAGTGAGGGGGAGACTACAAAAGCCATTCACTCTCTTAATACAAGTCCAAGACCAAAGAAACAAACAACAAAAAAGAAAAACAAGGAGAAGAAATTGGATCTCTCTGTCACAAAAATGCAAAGTAGCTGCGTCGAATGAAATGCTGCTGCTCTCTGTATACGCCATCAATTTCGTCAAGGTCGTCGAAACTTCACCCTCAAAGAACCCTGTGTATCAATGTGTCCTATTTACAAACCACCGAACAAAATCATTAGTTCTTGATATCGTCCTCGGCTTTCTTTAGAGCCACTGGTGATCGTCTTGATCGGTAGGCGAGCATGGAATATAAGGCATGAAACTTTGCCTGCCAAACACGGACCTCGTGAAGGCATCCTCGAATTTTCGCCAGTAATGGTGCACTGTGTGAGAAGGCGTGCTCGGGAGCTTGCGCAAACGGCTCGGTCGGAGTATGCTGTTGCCGTTCTGGTGAGGCTCTGAGTTGCACTGCTGAGCAGTGGCTGATTGAAGGATTTGGGAATCGATGGCTTGGAATATGTCGTGCTGGCAAAGTATTTGGCCGAATGAAGCAAGATTCTTGTTAGAGGCTTCGTCAACAGTCCAAACACCTTTGTTGATGAATGGATATCTTGAGGCACAAGCTCCATGTTATGCCATCAATTAGACTCAGCATATGAAATGCCGTCTTACCACAGTGCGGAACAGAACGACGGTGATGGTACTCATGATCATAAAGGCATTGCTCGGCAATTTCACACTGGACCGAGTAAACTGGACACACAGAAAATGAACTGCAGAGCAAGCATATGCGTCAAATTAAGACAAAGAAACATAGTAAAACCTCTTAAAATAGGCATCTCTGGCGACCACATTCATTGTATTGCTAGTAATAGAAAGAATCTCATGGTATTGCGTATGGTAAGTCTCCTGGAAAGAGCATTATCCGATCATCTTACCTGGTTCTAGGTGAGTGCCATGGAGACAGCGCCACGCATAAGCCCTGCCCACCAATATGTGACCTGACCATATCAGAGTTTAGTTTGGAAACTCGATCATGCCGACTACCTCATACGCAGGAAAATCCACAAGAAAATTCTAATCTCTAACTTGCTGCTTTAAATGGATCTTTTCGTACCTAGACTTCCTAGCCAAGTTGGACAAGAGCGACGGGGGGAAAACGAAGGCAGCTCTTCCAATCGAAACAGAGTCCCAACAACATCGAGCTGACCTTGATCGATTTTTCCAGTACTGAGAATGAACAAAGAAGAAACACGAAACATCAGGAAGACGGAAATTCGATTCCCGTCATTCAACCTCGCCTCGCAAATGTAGAATGTAGCAGAGACTCGTCATTACCTATTGCTGACAACTCCCCACTTCTCGATACGCTTCCATTCCAACGTAAAGGAAGATGAAGATCTCGGCGACAGAAGACAAAGTGGCAAAAACATGCCTGCAACCAATGGCAAAAAGATGTGAACATTAGCTGACACGAGAATTACAGGAATCATGTCCAAGGAAAAGACCGAAAGTAGGAGGATTCTACATACTTAGCGGACCAAGTCAATTGTCGTTTGCTAAAAATTAGTACAAGGACCAATTGTATTTTTTAAAATTGGGGGAAAGACAAGAAAAACGTTCGCAAATAATTGGAAGAATGAACTGCGGCAGTTAGCAAATGAAAGTGAAAGAATAAAAGAAGGCGTGCTATTTACAAACCACCTAACAAATTGCCGCTACTGTCCGTATACGCCATCAGTCTTGTCAAAGTCGTGGAAGCTTCACACTTGGATAAACCAGTGTATCTGTGTCCTATTTACAAACCATCAAACAAAATCGTCAGTTCTTGATCTCATCCTAGGCTTTCGTAGGAGCCACTGATGATCGTCTTGATCAGTGGGCAAGCATGGAAGGGTAGGCATGAAACCTCGCCTGCCAAACACGGGCCTCATGAAGGCATCATCAAATTTTCGCCAGTAATGGTGCACTGCGTGAGAATGCGTGCTCAGGAGCTTGCACAAACTGGTCAGTCGGAGTATGCTTTTGCCGTTCTGGTGAGACTCCAAGTTGAGTCCGTTACTGAGCAGTGGCTGAGTGAAGGATTTTGGACTTGATGGCTTGGAAGGTTTCGTGCTGGCAAAGTATTTGGTCGTGGGAAGCAAGATTTACACTAGAGGCTTAGTCAACGGCCCCAACACCTGTATCGAAGAATGATACCTTGAGGAATAAGGTACATGTTATGCCACCAATTAGACTCGGCATATGAAACGCCATCTTACCACAGGGCTAAACAGAATGACCGTGATGGTTCTTGCGATCATAAACACATTGCCTTTCAATTTCGTGTCGGACTGAGTAAACTGTGCGCACAGAAAATGAACTTCAGAGCATTATATGTGTCAGATTAAGGCGAGGAAACATAGTAAAACCTCTTAAAAAAGGCTTCTCTGGCGACCACATTCATCGTATTGCTAGGAATAGAAAGAATCTTATGGAATTCCTTGTGGAAAGTCTCCCGGAATGTGCATTATCCGATCATCTTACCTGGTGATAAGCGAGTGCCATGGAGACAGCGCCATGCATAAGCTCGGCCCACCAAATTGTGACCTGAACATATCAGAGTTAAATTAGGAAAATCCATCATGCTGATTACCTCATACGCAGAAAATTCAACTAGAAAATTATAATCTCCAACCTGCTGCTCCAAATCAATCTTTTCGTACTTAGACTTCCTAACCAAGTTGGATAAGAATAATAGGGGAAAAACGAAGGTGGCTCTTCCAATCAGAACGAAGCCCAACAATGTCGAGCTGACCTTGATCGATTTCCAGGACTGAAAATGAACGAAAAAGAATGACGAAACATCAGGGAAATAGAAATTTGATTTCTGTATTCAATATGCAGTTGATGAAAAAATATTGATTCTATGTGAACACATTGCGATAAAGTTATTTCTACGAGAAGCAAACCAGAAGCCCTTCTCCAAAGAAACATTTAATCACTTCATCTGTGAGACTTTTCCATGTCAACTTCCAGATCATTGAACTGTGCAGGTTTTGTACTCCTTGTGAAATCAAATAAGTAGAGTTCACACTATATCTACAGCATGAGTCACGAGCCAGATTTAATGAGCTCGGAGTTGGATGAGAAGTATGAATTTTCTTTGTTTTTCTTGCACTTTTGGGAATAAAGCGAGCACTTTGTTTAGGGACATCCCATTGAGGGCTATCCTGAAGGAACAGCCACATCGATGTCAATGTTTCCACGCCCTGTAAGTACCTGCATCCAGCGATGTGTCCAAACCTTTATCTGTCCATGTCCCCCAATTGAATCAAGTATCGAAACATAATTCGAAAGTAATTACTTATGTAAATACTGGGAAGAAATGGTCCACATACCTACAAAAAGAAAAGTGGAGAATTTCTAGTCATAAGTGGCGTTCATAGTATTCGAGCTTGTGAGTTATGTGTGGCATACGCTTAATCTTGTACCAGTCCTCGCCTGCATCTTCTTTGCACCGCTCCTCCAATTCTGGGCAACCTGCTATTTTTCGGTGACTAAGGGATGCAAGCCCTTGCACTCCTTCAGGTAATGATGTCAGCGAGGGGCACCGGAAGATTTCAAGCTTTTGAAGTGACTGAAGGACCTTGATCTCCTCTGGTAAAGCCTTCAGATTTAAGCACTTTTTAATAGAAAGATGTTCGAGATTGCTGGCCTGTAGAAGCCACTGTGGGAGAGATGCTAGTTTGCGAACACCATGGATGTCCACGGACCGGAGACTCTTAAGTCCTTGCAAATCTAAGATGTTGTCGCTTTCATCTTTGGATAAATCGAGCTCCTCACAGTTGGAAAAAGAGAGATGCACAAGGTTCGACAAATGTTGCATGCCGTGTGAGAAGGAAGTTAACCGAGGACATTCACTGATGCCAAGACATTCAAGCGAAGTGAGACTTTGCAAACACTCCTCGGCAAAACAATCTAGAAACTCCATCTGCGAGATATCCGTACTCTTCAACTTATTATGGCCAAATATCTGATTTATCAACTTTTGGTTGACCTTCTTCAGAATCAAATCCTCAAGATATGGAGTTGGTGGCATGTCTTTCAAGTTTTCACAGTGACGGATCTCTAATCTCAATAGATTCGGAAATGATGCTGTTGAAGTGGAGGAATAGTCTAACTCAATGGATTCCAATTCAAAAGTGGAGGAATGGTCTGACTCGATGTATTCCAATTCAGGGAGCCTCCAAATCGCTAAAGACTTGAGGTTAGGTAGTCGACCCAATTGAGGGAGATGTTTACATCTTCCGCATCTCCGGAAGTGTACCTCAACTAAATTTTGCAAGGAGACGCTATCCATCATCCACTTTGGAAAGCTCTTACCTTCATATCTGTCGATTGTCAACTTCTACAGACTTGAGTACGGCCTCAGTACATCTAATATATCTTCATCTGTATTGCCAATTACTGCATCATCAGTATCGAGATAGCCCCATTTTTTTTTTTGGTAAGGATGAGATAGCCCCATTTAAGTATCAAAGATTCTAGAGAATGCTTTTCTATCAAGTTTGCCGCCCTGGATTCTACTAATGCATGTCTTGAGTGTCCCAAATTTTCAATGCTAAGGCTTCCACGGATGCTTTTAAGCCCATTTAGCTCCCTAAGTCCACAATAATTCTTAGCAAGAGCTTCACCTTTGGGCAAAATTAAGCGTGTTAGTCTATGCAGAGAACTCAATTTCCCTAGTCCATGTGGCACATAACTAAGACTGTAACAATAATCTATGTTTAGATTTCGAAGGCTGACCAACTTCCTTATCCCCCTTGGCAATTCTTCAAGGGTAGAACAACCTTGGAGATTAAGTGTTTGCAAATTTTGCAATCTCGTAATGGAGTTAGGAAGCCTTTTGAGTGCATCATTGTGAGAGAAATTGAGATACGTGAGATGCTTTGTTGACACCTAAATTTTGGAGACCCAGTTAGTCGTTCATTGCATAAAAAATTAGGAATCGATCCTAGTCCCTAGACAAAAAATTAATTAAATCGCATATAGATTAGGAGCATTTGAATTAGTATTTAGGTCTATATAACTGCATTTGCATTGGACTGGCGGCGGATGGACTCAAGTGAACAGCTCTGAACTTAATAAAATTGGACTAAGCCTGCATTTAAGAAAATTCTTGGCCAAGCCTATGAACATTATAAGAGCTAAAATTTTTATTGGAAAATGTCGAGTTGGAAAATATTGATTTGTTAATCTTGACATTATCAAGATTCAAATTGAATGAATTGATATTATCACAGAGATATTGCAATATTTCCTTTGAATCAAAATAGGAAATAATTGCAAGCAAAAAAAAACCCTACACTTTACCTATAAATACATTCGTTAAGGGTTCACAAGGAGGAGGCCACACCACTTACATACACGGCCACAGTAGAGAGTTTGGCACATGGAGAAGAAGATATCGTGAGGGGCTTCACGATTCAGAGAGACAGTGCCACGTTCAGGGAAAGCACGACAAAAAATATGATGCAGAGATTGAGAGGAGGGATCGAAATAGAGAAGAGGAGTCTTGGCCCCTCCCTTAGCTGAGCCTCACGACCAAGCAGACCCTCCACACCGGCGTGCCTTTTCACCGTCGCCAACAACCTTCACGGTCACTGCACCCCTGGCCGAGAACGAAGCAGCCAGGTCGCGAAGCATCTCACGCCCGACACTCCTGCTACACCAACGACGAGTTGCTGCCGTCGAGAACCTCACTACCGCAAGCTCTTCCTTGGCAAAAGATCAACATCAGCCTCTTCCCCACTGCTGCTAGTGGCGAAGCCGAGCTTCACCGAACCAATCGCTGGGACAATCCCAATAGCACGAAGTTGTGCCGGAGATCTTTGGGTGTCGTGTCCGTTGGAGGGTTGTTACTAAAATAGAAAAACGAAAGAAATTTCCGTTGTGTGCAGGTGTGATTCGTGAGTGAAGTGGCGAGAAGGTTCTAAAGGGGTGCACTTTGAATCATTCACAAACGAGGAGAACGCGAGGGCAAAAGCGTTCATCGTGGTCCAAGATCGACAATCATTGCCGTGAATCCTCTTCGAGCACGAGTGTCCAATAGTTGCTGCGAGTCCTCCACTGCGCCCCCGGTTGACCAGAACACCACCTTGAGCCGCCGTCGGTCACTCGCCATTGGCCATTCCGCGATCTTGATCCGCCGGTGATTCAAATTTGGAAACTAATCCGCAAATTAGGTAAAAATCTCTATCCGGTATATTTTCAAAATATTTAAATTCTTAGTTTGAATATTCCGTGAATCTTGCGTGATTGATCAGATATCTTAGGATAATATTTGCGATATCCGCAATATTCTAAGATACCCTAAATTAGGAATTTTTTCTAATTTGGCAATGTATTTGGGCGACTATCTGACCTTATCCCTAAGGTACAATACATGGCGATACGGAAAATCATTATCTTATCCATAATCACTTGGATACGATCATAGATTTTATTCGCTTTCCAAATTCGAATAATCAGTTTTCCATCGATATCTATAACCCTATAGATATAACTGTTAATTTGATTTCTTTTCCTAATTCAAATTTGATAAGAAGAATCTTGCGGATTGCGTGGATTGTTTGAATGTGGTTGTTATCTTTGTTTGATTGTTTTTTTTAAATAAAGAAAATCCAAAAATATGTTAGTTAGGATTTAAATTAGAAGTTTTGCGTGTTTAGGGAACCCTAAATGTATCTAGAAGATAGGATAATTATTTAATTTAAATTAGGACTTGAGATAATTTATTTCGTAGTTTAAATTAGGTGTTATTCTAATCCTAATAGATTATTTAGGTTATTTTTAGATTCCGAATTTCCATGAAAATCCCAAAAAAAATGAGTCACTTTAGGATAGATTAAGATAGATTGCATGTTAATTTAGACATTTTTTTTATTTCGAATTTCATTGGAAAAATACTAAAAATAAATCATTTGTCTGTCATTAGAATTAGGTCACGTCATCGCATGACATATAGTTCGCATGTTAGGTTGCATTAATCGCATGTCATTTTTTGCACGTCATTGCATATATGTTAGTTTGCATTTTAATAAAGCTCAAACCCTAAAGAACATCTTGAATGCCTTGCTTTGTTAATTAGAAATCATATTAGTATTGTCTGTGTGATTTTCTATTAACAATGCAGATGCTTGCATTGCTCTAAGGTACGTCATTCTCCTAATCTTGCAATTTATTTATTGCTTTCTTGGGTGTTAAATTGGTGATTTGCGCACCTGCATGAACTCCTCACATGTTAGTAATTAGGTAATAAAATGGATTCAGACTGTTTGTATAAATATTTTTGAAAAGAAAAGGTGCCGAAGGGCGTTAGACTAGATCTAGCGTAACCAAGTCCCCGAGCTTAGAATCTCTGGTTCGTATGAATAAAACATATCTCCCTATGTTTTATTTAGGTTTCTAATCGATCTACCACAAATAGATTAGTGGCGACTCCAAGCATGAAAACTTTTGCATGTTAAAAACTTAAACCCTAAGTTGCGAATTGGTAGGGCTTGGGAGGGCCCGAGTTAAGTCGAGACTTAATAATCCATTAGCCTGAGAAATTTAGGTCGCGACATGCTTCAACCTACCAATGGACCTTGGCACCTTCTTGACAATTAGGGCATCCATATCCAAGATGCGCAGCCTCTTGAAACTTTGAATGAGCTGGCATAGATCTACTTCAGTTGTTGGATCTCTTTGTTCCATTTCGTGAGATGTAGGCACAGAAAGAAACGTTCTCAGTGAACTTGCTTTCAAGTGTGAGATTCGAGGGTCACCTATCAAATTGGAAATTAAACCATGAGATATATGATGAATTCTTTTATTTATAAATTTAGGTTCAACCCAAGCCACCCAACACTCGGACCTTGCAACTGAGCAGGCTAGATCATGCATCAAAGAAGGCATCTTGCAAGTATCCTTGTTCGTGAATGAATCTGTTTGTAAATCTTGGAAGAAGTTACTCCAAAGTAGATCTATGAAATATCCATGAAAAATGTCTTCTAGATCCTGACTTCTCTTTGATGGCTCAAAAAATCCTTCTGCCATCCACAGATTGACCAAAGTCTGCTTCTTGATCTCATAATCTTTTGGAAACAATGAACAAAATGCAAAACAATGTTTCAAATGTGAAGGAAGATGATCATAACTTAGCTGAAGAACAGACATTATGTTTTCTTCCCTTTGAGACACATCTGGGAGCTCATATTGTTAGAATAGTAACCATTCGAGTTTAGTTTTCTTAAAGAAGAGTAAACCCCCAACAGTTCGAATAACCAATGGAATCCTAGAGCACTTTCTAACTATCTCTTTACCAATAGCTAGCATGTCAAGATCTTGTATCTCCTCAATTTTTTGATAAGCCATTTGCATTAATAAATCAAGAGACGCACTTTCAGATAAGCCCTTGAGAAAATGAGGCGGCGTAGTGCCGGTGATCTCCGCAACCAAACGAAGGCGTGTAGTTATAAGGATCTTGCTTCCTCTAGCACCTCTCGACAATAAAGTTTTCAAGAGCAGCCATGTTTCCCGATTTTTATTCCACAAATCATCTAAAACTAATAGGTGTCTCTTTCCATCAATCTCTTCCTTTAGCTCACTTTGCAACTGTTCCATCGCAACCTCAGTTGGTTCTTTCTTCTTTGCACAAACTATCATATTTTTCACTATTTTTTTCATGTCAAAGTCATCAGAGACACTAACCCACATTTTCAAGTTAAACTGTTTACTAACCATCTCATCATTATACACACATTGAGCAAGAGCTGTTTTTCCAATCCCCCCAAAACCAACTATTGGAAGAATGGAAACGTTCTCTTGCACATCTGAATCCAGTAAAAATTCCATGACCGCCTTCTTATCTTCATCTCTCTCTCTAATTTCTCCCTCACGTATAAACGAATGCGTCTCTTCTCTTTTCCTCGGCTCTCCCTTGGGGTACTCGTCAAAGTGGAACCCCTTATCAGCCTTAAATGGCATCTATTCTCTCCCTCACTGCTCTTAGTTTGCAACTCATCTTCATTTTAAAACCAAGCTGGTTTGAACTTGAGAAAAATGTCCTTACCTCCTTCATCATTTTACTATGGCCCCTCAGTTCTCGTCGCATAGCTTCTATATTAAATTCTTCAAGCACATCATGTGCATCGTAGAAAGCTTCTATCAGTTGATCAACCCGAACTTGCATCTGGTGGTATTGCTCTTCTGCAGCGTCCAACATAGCCAAAAGAGTGGAGACTGTGTCCCTGAGTGCCTCGTGTTCATGCTTGATGCCACATAACTTTCCAACCTTTTCTACTGCTTCAGGAACCAGATTAGCAATAATCTTTCCAGCTATACCGATAACAGCTTTTGCCATTTTTGTTCTCTGTCTCACTGTGGATCAAAAGATATTAGTCTAGTCGGTCCAAAGCTAGAGACTTCTCACAACATGGATAACAAGTAAACATTGATGCTCACCTGAGGCTGGCAAATCCAAAGCCCGATGAATCTAATTATCAACATCAATGACCGACTGGAGCTATTGAAGATTGGAATTCTGATCATCCACGCAAGCCTAAATCAATAATCCATACTGGGACCCACCGAGGTCGTATCCAATGCCTGCAAGAACACTTCTTTTTTCGAAGGCTTTTTTTTTTTTGGTGTGAATGTAAGTATTATAAACCGGATGAAGTACAGCAGCTTAGGGGCATCTCCCAGCATTACAAAAAGTGCTAATAATTCAAAAAGATGGAGGTAGGAAGTTTCCATATAGTAGCTAATACAACATTTGTTTGGGAAAGTTTAATTTTTTGGTAGAGCGAAGCTCTACCTCTGGCATTTTTATGAACCTTAGCCAAAAGAATATGAAAGTCAGTTGACTTGTTTTGAAATCATCTGCTATTGCGCTTCATCCAAATGCAATATATGGTTGCTAGAAAGGACAACTTGAGGAGTCTTGCGGCCAAGTCTTTGCCAAGTCTTTGCCTTTTATTGCCCTAATCATCCATTGAAGTTCTTCATTCCATCCTTCTAAAAGGCGCCTGATCCCATGTTGTGCTAGGATACAACGCCATATGTTGTTTGTCCATTCACACTCGAAGAATAAATGTGTTCTGTCTTCAATACCAGCCCTACAGAAATTACACTGAATATCAACTGAAGGTATCCATTATGCGACGATTCTTGCTGTAGGTAGTCTATCTCTGCAAACTAGTCAACCAATAAAATTGTGTTTGCTAATGCCGCTGGTCCAAATTAGGTTATACCACTCCACGGCTGGTCTCACATGTCTGAGTTCATCATATATATCTTGGCAACAGTATTTTGGGCTTGGTATAATCGATGTTAGAACGGGTTGCAGTTTGAGGAGACATCTCCAGCTCTAAGCCATATTGCCCTTGATGTCGAGCTGCATAATTGGGGTGCCTCTGCATTTGGTGTTGTGAACCCAAGTACTCCAAAGGGAAGAGGATGGAAGATTGATAAGATTCCACAGCATGCGACCTAGCAATACTTTGTTCCATAAGTTCAAATTAGGCAATCCTAAACCTCCTTCCCTTTTAGGTGAGCATACTACTTGCCATGCAACCTTGTACGAGCCATGATTTGCTGAATTACCAGCCCATAAGAATTGTCTAATCCTCTTCTCAACCTCGTATATAGTGTGCTTTGGAAGTAGGAACATTTGCATCCAATAGGTGCATATGGAGATGAGGACTGATTTGGCTAACTGTAGACGCCCTGCATAACTGATATGCTTCATGCCCCAATTTTCAATTTTCTTGAAGATCTTATCGGTAAGACTCTTACGATGCGTGTCGGTAAGTCTTCGATAACAAGGGGGATACCTAAGTATCGATGGGGAGGGTACCTATAGAAAAAGGCGTGTGGTCCAATATAAGGTGCTTCTCATCCTCATTCAACCTAGAGAAAAAGATTTGATATTTGTCCGGGTTGAAACGCAGTCCTGTGAGAGTTGCAAATTTTTTTAGGGCGTCTACAAGGCAAAGGACGGAATCTACATCTCCATGGGAAAATAATAACAAGTCATCTGCAAAGCATACGTGTGTGATTCATTGCGTTTTGCAATGCCAGTGATACTTGAAAGAAGAAGCAGTAACTTTCGCACGAACAATTCTGTTAAAGATTTCCATAACCATTACAAAAAGGTATGGAGAAAGTGGATCTCCTTGTCGCTGCCCATTCGTACTCTTAAAATAGCCAACCTGCTCACCATTGAAGTTCACTAAAAATGTCGGAGTAGTAATGCATTAAGCTATCAGAGCAACCCAGTCGTGAGGAGTATTTATAGCTTTGAGAACCCCGAGGACTGCATCCCATTTTACCATGTCAAAGGCTTTCATGAGGTCAATCTTTATTGCCACCCGTTTACCATTTCCTCCCTTGTGGTAGTTGTGTAGAAGGTCTTGGCATAGCAGAATATTCTCCGAGATCTGTCGTCCGCTGATGAAAGCAGTTTGGTTGAGGCCGACAATCTTCGGAAGCATGCAACTAATCCGTTCTGCAAGAAGCTTAGATATGATCTTGTATATGACATTGCAGCAAGAAATGGGTCTGAATTCCTTGAGGAAAGATGGATTCTGAACCTTCGGTACGAGTGTAATCAACGTGGAATTTATAGACTTCAGCATTCTTTTTGACGAGAAGAATTCCATGATAGCTTCCTCAATGTCTTTCCCTATGATGTGCCAAGCGCTTTTGTAGAATAGACTATTAAAGCCATCTGGACCCGGAGCTTTAAAGTCGTTGAAACCTTTTAAGACTCTGAGGATTTCTGATCTCTGAACTACAGGAAAGGTAACAAGAGTATTGATATCTTCATGAAATAAAGAAGCATATCTCTCGTATGGAATGCTAGTAAGACTAGGATTTCCAAGGAGATGCTGATAATACGTTATAATTGCATTCTTGAGAGCACCCTCCTCGGTAATAGTAGAGCCATCCTCGAGTTTGATATGATTGATCCTGTTCTGGGCACTCCTCCGCATCATGGAGGCAAAGAAAACCTTACTATTATTGTCACCCTCCTTCAGCCATAGATTTCTAGATTTCTGCTTAAGCAAAACCTCTTCATGTTTACTAAGAACAAGTAACTCCTCCAGTTGCGCCTTTTCTTCCGCCCGAGTAATGGGATTAAAGGGGTCAATCACAAGCTCCTGTTGAAGTTGTTTTAGGTTCTCCTTAGCTTGTTTGACCTTTAAGTGTAAGTCACCAAACTGAGATCTATTCAGTCTCTTGAGTTGTTGTTTCAGTGCTTTGAGCTTTGCCTCCACTGTGAACATTCTATATTCTTTGATAACCTGTTGCCAACAAGTGGACACCAAAGGCGGGAAACCCGGGCTAGTGGTCCAGAAATTAAAGAATTTGAAAGAAGGTTTCCTTCTCCTATATGTGGTGTCAAGTCGCACCCAAGCATGGGGAGTGGTCTCGAAACTCCTGGAAGTAGGAATTCGATCGAATAGTGGTTGTATTTGTTACGCCATTCTGCATTAATCAGGACTCTGTCAATTTTGCTCGCTTTGAAATTATCTCCCATGCTTTTGTTTGTCCATGTGAAGAAAGGTCTCGTAGACGGAGGTTCAATAAGTGCAAGTTCTTCAATCATGGTATTTAGTTCCTCCATACACTGCAGGTCCAACGAACGTCGATCCAATCCTTTCGCTTGTGTCCCTTGTTTCATTGAAATCCCCATTAACAACCAAGGCGGAGTCTCTTGTTTGTCCAAAAGAAAAATTTGAAATATTACGCCAAAGAAGCCTCCGCTCAACTTCGGTATTGTACCCGTAGATGGCAAATAGCAAAAAAGGTTCCACCCCAGGTTTTTCAATGAGACAATGTATGACTTGGGCAGAAATCTCCAAAACGGTTAGACTAAGCGTGGACAGTTTCCATAGGATCCATATTTTACCCAAGTTGCTGTACATATAGTTATGAGTATAACTCCAACTTCTAAAACTACTGTCAATTATAAAATCAGCATTCTCTTCTTTAATCTTGTGCTCAAACAAAAGAAGAATTTGGGAATCTAGGGATAGAGCAAAGTCCACCAGTTCCCTTCTCTTGGGGCTATGATTAAGGCCCCTTACATTCCATGCGACAATATTCATAAATCAGGAGGCTCCGTTACATCCCCCAACGCCCCCAATGTATCCACGGAACAATCCGAAGTAGCCTCCACTTCCAAAGGAGCAAATCTATTATCAGAAGGCACTGTATTGTTGTCATCTTTGTTTCTACTGTTTGATCCTCTTTCCTTTCTACCAACTAGCATATATTGTAAGGAAGAAGGATCATACCTTACATCAGCATGGGCATTTGACTGGGTAACCATGGGGTTAGCAATATTCTTCGGGGTGGGAGATGGATTCGATGGAACCGGAGTAACCCGTTCGACTTCTTCGGTAGCTGTCGTCCCCCGATGAGTTGACACTGAGTTAGGAGGGGCAACATTTTTTTGGGTCTTAGGAACCCAGATTTCTTTACCTGTAGCTCTACAATCTTTGTGGCCAAAGATATTGCAAGTCTTGCATTTAACAGGTAACCAGCTGTAGTGAACCGTGGCCTCAAAGAAGCCACCCTTACCCATGTCGATATCGAATTTCCTTGGGAACGAGCTATCTACATTCATTCGGATACATACTTTCGCATAAGACAACCGCCGTTTTTGTTCAGTGGCCGAGTCCATATATAAAGGTCTACCAAGAACACTATAGACATAACTTAAACCTTTCTTGGTCCAGAGAACATGGGGGACATTATAAAGACGGACCCAAATAGGCACAGAGGTGACCTTCGCTCTCTCTAATCTTATATGGGGATGCCATTTTTGCAAAAACATAGGTTTTCCTGCAATGTCCCATACCCCGACCTCCATCACTTCCACCATTTTCGCAATATTGGAGAAGCGAAAAAAGAAGTCATCCTTCGTGGCTGTAATATCGAGAATGTTCTCTTTGCCCCATAATTTTTCTATAACTCCTCTGACTTGATAGAATGATATTTTTGCGGTGAGGAAGTATCCCACTAGGCAGTTTTGAAAGTGAGATTTACCCTCGTCTAGAACCTCGGGTGGGGGAACGGCGATAAGTTTATCGCCACTCTTGACTGGTGGGTGAAATTCTAATTCAGCAGACTGGGCAAAATTACCCATAGCAATGTTTTTCCAAGACATACATGATGTGGTAGCAATAGAGTTTACCAAAAAGTGTGCCTGGACATGTGTAGGTTCAGCCGCTGTTCTAGAATTAGAAGTACAATTGCTAACTCCATCAACAACATCGGTTAGATTTCCATCTCCCAATTCAGCGTCTCCAACGGTACAAGTAACCTCAGCCAAAATATCATCATTACAATTAGGGAGGGCGACAGAAAGTGTTTCTGGCAAGCCCGCTTCAAATCCTGTTTCAGCCCCTGGAGAGGCTGCTCTTTCTCTTTTTCAGAACTGAAGAGACTATTCTTTATTTCGGTGGATAGAGCTTTGAGTTTTGTTGTGTTCGACGATGAGGCTCTCCCAGAGCCTCCTCTATTGCGTCGCGTTCTAACCACCATTTTCGAAGTTTTTCCTGGCGATATGAAACGTTGCCTCCGGCTAGAAGGGGTTGGATCGATGCGCTCGAGGACTTGGACCATGAGCGTCAACACACCATGAGCAGCTGGGCAGGGACACGATCACGCAGGTAGGCTGCGAGAGTGTTGGGGGAGGACGATGTGCTCAAAGAAAGGCGAAATGGACAGAGAACTTCGCTCAAGAAAAGAGAGAGGAAGAGGGAGTGAAAGGGGTCGAAAACTAAGGGAAGGTGGTGGGGAGCGAGGGAAAAGAGGAGCAAGGGATGGGTGAGAGATAGGTGAGAGATGGGGAGCAAAGGAAATCTAAAGGATACGAACGAGATGGGGAGCAAGGGATAGAGCAACAGCAAAGGAGTAGACAGCAATGAAGGGAAGGAAGACAGCAGTGAGGAGGGGCTGGGAGAGGATGAGCAGCAACGAAGGACACGAACACACACTGAAACTCACTCGGGAAAAACAACAAACACCTTATGTGCAAAAAAGAAGGAGAGAGGAGACGACAAGGAAAGAAGGGGGGGAACGAAGCCAATAAGATAAGCAGAGAGAAAACCCCAGTGAAAGGAAGCACAACACAATGAGCGCCGCACCTAACAGAGGAAGATCGAAACATATCGGAGGAAAGCAGCTCACCCACAGAGAAGGATAGAGTAGAGGGGCTCTGAACAATCACGGGTAAACGGAAGTGGGATCAAGCTTTACTTTTTTTGTCAAAAGATGACCAATCATTGTTTCTATTCTTGGGGTGGATTTAATGTATGACAGTTGACAACAAAGGGTACGTCACAAATCTAGGGAACATTAGTTTGCTTCGATGCGTGCACTGGGAGATATGAGCTGCGATTAACTATTAAGTAATATATATGTGTATATATATACACACATATGCAGTATACATTAGGATAGAATTTCTTTTCATGAAAATAGAAAGTTATATATGCGTAAATAACATAATGGATTTGTAAACATTATGATGCGAACACTATACCTCTAAGTTCAAAACTCTCCTTCATACTGTCGCGTGACCCTATTGCTATTATTTACTGAAAGGTAATTGTTTGATTAAGGAAGTTCACTCTCCTTACTAATCTTTCAAAATCATTTGCTCCTACTATAATGCTTCTACATTATTTCTTTCTTCCATTATTTTTCCTATTCTCTAAATAAATAAATAAATTGCCTTAAATATCTCTACCCATGCTAGGCAATAGTGAAAATTGAACATTTATGCAATGTAAAATCCAATATGTAGGCATTTTATGCACGTCACTCCTTTTTCATAAATTTCAAAAGGATTCCTATGTAGGGGCAAAATGACGGACATACACAATTTTTTCTGGCATATACAATTTATACAAAATTTTTTACCATTTTAGTTTCCTATTGCAATCACATCGATTAGTTTGGAATACCCTTTAGCTCAAATTTATCACCCTTTTTTTTTTAATCAATTCCTATAAGACAAGTTATCTCTCTCATCTTTTAAGCCTGGCTCATATTTCTATCACCTAATATATTATTCTTCTAATTTAGCTCTATTCAATATACACAATCAAATCTTTGCCGAATTTCCATGTAGATGTTTTCTAATAGTATTTGCAAGACCCTAGCAATTCCTAGTTGGGCACTAGTTATTAGTCAGCGACACCAGGCCGAGAAGACCTTGTCACTGCTACGAACGTATTTCGAAGGTCTAATGGTGGATGGTGGTACTAATTCTTGAGATTTGGCTAGATTACGCAAAGCGTCTTTCACAATAGTTCTTAAAAAATTTTATGTTGGAAAGTAAAAAGTTGTTGGAAAATAAGTTTTGTTTGTTCTTCCAACTGCCTTGTTTGTCAGATTTATCTTTTATCGATTTAGATCTACCTCCTGACCGTAACATCTGAAATTTTAACATGTATAAATTTTGACACGTGATTTTACATATAATCTTTTATAATTTTTGTTATGGTGGGATATTAAAAAGTTGTATCCTTTTGTTGAGCACATGCCCTTACTTTTGACACGTCGTTATTATGCAGAACATCTAAGTAAAGGAAAGAGCGATATGCATATATCAACTATTCAAATTAATAAAACAAAACAAAAAGTTACACAATACAAGTAATATACAAAGTTGTCATTGGGCACGCGGCCGAGTAGTAAAAGAATTGAAAGGTGGGGGTGCTAGTGTCACATGTATGAGATTTGGCTTTTGCGCTTCGCAAAGAGACGGAGTAACAATTTGAGAGAGAGAGGAGAGAGTTAAAGTTAGGGGTCATGCGTATTAAGTCGTACTCCACATGACTAAGAAGTCTGACATGGCTAGAAAGCAACTTAACTCCATCATGATTAACTGTTGACCATCACTTTAATTTTGTTTCTTTTCCTTTGGTTCTCCTTCTCCTCACTTTTTTGGGAGATGTAGAGACAGACGAGGCGCTTTTGGAACTCTAGAAATTGATGGCCAATCCCCTCATTTATTACATGAAACTTACCCAGCTCATTTATTGTATAAAAACTCTCTATGTAAGTGTACAGTAATAGTAGATAATAAAAAATATTTAAATGATAAACACCAATTGCAAAACCTATATATATATATATATGTATATATATACATATATATACATCTAATTTAATAAATAAGGTAAGTTGATGTTGATGTATTCTAAAACCATTATCTTAATTGAGATGATTCGGTTTTTTGCTTTATTGTAAAGCAATATGTCTAAATAATGTTAAGGATAGTGGGAAGGAATGGGATTTTGTAATGATGTGGCTCAACTATTAAGTTCCATTCTACCTAACTTTCTCATTATTAATATATGTGTGCATATATATACATATATATATACATATATATATGCATTAGTTTGGTTTCACAAATTACACGTAATAAAATAGAATGAAAGAAGGTAATCATGATGATCAAGGTTAACTGAATTTTTTTAGAACTTGTTTATTTATGCTTTTTATAATGCAAAAACAATTTTTCACTTTCCAGTTAAAGTTAAAAATGTAATTTAAATATTAAAATATTTTGCAAAATTATGTATAAATTACATATAAATATTTAACAGTTGTGAAAATTTCACATGTTTCAAACCCAAAAAAATATATATGTAAAAACTTGTCGAGACATAATTAGATTAAACAAAAATAAAATATAAAGATCTATCCACACAGCCCTTAGATATTTTGTTGAGATTTGTGAAAGCGTAAAGCTTGAACTTCACGTGGTGAACCATATCATTGCCCTTGATGTGTCATCTCTTTCCCTTTTCCTTTTTTACAAACTTCTCTTTTTTCCAAAGGCGACCAGAAAAAGGGCAAGATAACGTCTCGGTGAAGCAAAGCCACAAATTTTCATTTCCGTTGGCCGACAGGTCAGAATGGCCATCCACTTACAAAGGCTACACTGCAACTATCTCATCGCAGCTTAGAAAACGACAGTAGCACACGAAATGCCCCAATGGCTGCACAATCCCGAGTGTTCAGAGGACAATATCAGTTTATGGTCAATGATAAAATGTTACCTTTGAGTTGTAATAGCAAATATTATATAACTAATCACCCAATTAGTAGAAGGGGAAGGATCATCATAAAACACAGAGTTCCTTTCTGTCCAAACAGTTTCCCTTGTAAGGTATTGAAAAGCCTACTGATAGAATGTTCAATGTCCCACATCCAATAGCTCTGTCAGCATCACAAAAAGGTAGAATGTTTCCCGAAACTGGCTTAGGGAGAGAGCACTCAAAGGAAAGATGACACCTAAATTCAAGATAAGCATCACATAGATAGCAAGTGCTGCTTGTACAACAAAATTGGCTGAGTCTATTAGTAAGCAGCTTGTTCAGGGTATTAATCCAAATTTTGGACCATTAGGATTGAACCACAAGTCTATGGCGTAGCAACTTGGACCCCTATTTCTGACTAATTCCCAAGCATCAGCAAATGGCGTTAGAGCATGGCAATATTGAATCACGTAAGCTTGCTTAAAATTTCAACGTCTGGCAGGGGGCCATTGCCAATTATCACCATAAATAACGTCTGAAACTCGAACATTCATCTCAAGTCGGCATTTTACACAACTCTTAAAAGAATAAACTTCTAGTGGAACTCCAGGATGCCCATTGTTAAACTATAAGGAAGTAGATTTGTACTTCCGAGCGATATGTTCGGCAATAGTTGTTAGGCAACATATGGAGTGGGACAAATATTTATCCAGCCCATTACAGGGTAATCATGATGGAAGATCGAATGTAGATGCATCAAAGCTGTCCCCAAATTCATTCAAACTTAGAGCCGCCGCTTATGCCCATTTTAATGTGGATTTTT